GTTCCCATTTTGAATAGTATTTAGTCAAATATTTACACGCTTTGACTACAAATTGTGAGAAATGTATATTGAATTATGAAATAAATTTTATATGATTGGATTCATCTTAGGATCTAGTTTTGATATCTCAAATTTTTTTAGCATTTTTTTATTTAAATTATATTTAATTTAAGGTCAAAGTGTGTAATAGTTTGACCAATTTATGGTCAAAATGAGAACTTTTTTGTGGGATGGAGGGAGTAATAATTTATAAATTGGTAGTTTTATATGTAAGTCACATTGTCACCACTTGTTTATAAAAAATTTTATGTAGTTTTTTGAATATATAATTCCTATTTTTTAATTATACAATAATTTTTACTTATATTGATTTGAAAATAATTTCAATCAAACATCGTAAATCGAATAAGAGCCCTATTTTGGGATAAAAGAAGTATTTATAATTGGCATATTTTTATGATATAATTTTGATATATCATATTTTTATTATATATATTTATTCAAAACTACATTTAATTGATTGACGAAAGAATTTGATAAAAAAGAGTATTATGCCACTATGCACAAAGTATAAATTATGTGAGACCGAATTTGATATATGATTTGAAAGGGAAATTGAAATAATTGATAGTGGGATGGATAAAAGTGATTGATAACATAAAGGGTATGATTGGAAGATATTGACAACATAAATAGCTAATTTGGTAAATAAACAATAAGCAGTGCTAAATGCGTAGTATTATATGAGTTAGAGTGCTATGTAGGGTGATTTCTTTTAGGAAATGACTAATGTTTTAGTCCTATTCATTGCAAATTTCACATACTACTTATTTAGGTTGCGTTCCGTTCGCCTCATCTGATTTTTTGAAATTCTGATCAGATCTAGTCTGATCTTATGTGATCTGATTTGATCTGATCTGATCTAATTGGATCTGATCTGATCTGGTCTGATTTGACCAGATTAGATCTGATCTAATATAAATTTGATTAAAATTAAAATTAAAATTTTTATTTTAATAGTTATTATAATAGTTATAATAATAATAATAGAAATATTAATAATAATAAAAATAATAAGAATAAAAATAATAAAGATACTAATAGTAATAATAATAATAATAGTAATAAGAATAGTAATAATAATAATAGAAATATTGATAATAAAACAAATAATGATAATAGAAATAATAATAATAGTAATACTAATAATTATAACAATAATACTCCCTCCGTCCTAAAACTTTCTTCCCACTTCCCCTTTTTCTCCGTCCTAAAACTACCATCCCATTAGAAAAAAAAGATGACAAATGACATTAATACCCTTATGTATTTACACCAATTATCTTCTAACTCTATATTTTGAATGATTGCAAAAAAAATTTCAAAAAATCTTTTTTAAGGAGGGTAAAATTTGAAGTCAAAGCCAAAAATTAAAAATGGAGAAAAGTCAAACTGAGAAGAAAGTTTTAGGACGGAGAGAGTAATAAGTTAAGGAGCGTATATTTTGCTATTTAACCTTTCATAAATGCCTTTAGGGTTACTTTGTAAAAGTGATATTTCACGTCAATTTTAAAAAAGATGGGATTTTACACATTCGAAGTGGGATACTATTTTTGGGATGGATGAAGTAGTTGAATAGGGAAGCTAGGCGTAAAACGTACCTGGGATATATAGGTTATGTTAGATATGGAAAATAACATGAACGTTTATGTTCATTCATAGAATTTAGGATGAATATGGACAATTAAATATGGATAATTAAATTGGGTAATAAGATACTTGAGTTGAACCATATTAAAAGATTGAATCCAATCGATTAGTTAGTTCAACTCAAGAGCTTATATATATCGATTATTTTGCTCTTAAATTTTCGATGTGGGATAAACTCTAACATTCATTTATGCCAAAAGAAAAAGGTTTTGGGACAAGTAAAAAATAAAGAAGAAAAGTTTTTAGGTATGAAGAGAGTATGTGGTAACGTAACTTTATTTGATTTTCTTTTTTCAAGTGAATTTCATAAACGATTCCTTATAACATTGTGTTTTTCATATATATATATATATATATATATATATATATATATATATATATATATATATATATATATATATCCCAATTCTAGAATTATTTTATAATCATTCATTTGAAGACTATCCCTATGAGGAAAATAATACATGGGTCACTGCTATATAGTCTCAATTATCAAGAATCATGAATCTTATTTCTTAAAATTGGAATTATATATGAAAAACACCATATTACAAAAGACCATTTATAAATTAGTCTTTTTTATATACTCTATAGGTATAAAAGAAAAGAAATGATTATCGTCAAAAACTTTGTGGTTGAGTAACACCGTTGTGACTCTAGTAACTAGGAGGTCATGTTTTTGAAATCCAATGGCAATAACTTCCTAAAACTTAAGAGAAAAAATATAAACATATAGTACTACGTTGTAACGAAATTATTAGTGAAAAAAAACGTGCTTATTACTGGCAAACATTAAAACTATGCAAGCATCTATTTACGAGTTTATTTTATGTGGGGTATTCTTTTGCTTTTCTCATTTCATTCTCTACACATATACTCCGTATAGATTAACAATGATAGCGGGTACAATTTAATTAATTAGTGGCGGAGATTTTGCTTCTCTTCGCCGGCAAAAGCTCCTCGAAGCGGCCTTGCTGAGCCACGCGCCACTGCCTGACAGCCGCCGCCTCATCGAACTCAATATGGTGTAGAAGCCCTGAAGCGGCGTCATAGAAACAACCCTCGGGGGAAAACGCGCTCATCATCATCGGACAAGGGGGCTTGTTTTTCCGGCGACCGGCCCCGACGGGGACGTTGCGGAGGGCGCCCCCGGCGGTCCAGTACCGCTGGCAGCCTTTGCAGAAGTGTCGGGGCTGGTTGACGTTGTAGTTGTTGAAGTAACAGAACTTGGTCTCCATGCTCTTGCACCTCGGACACGGGATCGCCTTGTCGGGCCTCTTGTGATCCGCCGCGGGATCATCGTTGGTTTTGTTCGATTTCTTTTCTTTTACCACTGTGATTATGGTTGCCCCGAAGAGCTTGATGCCTTGGGTGTTGTGGCTTTCTTGGACCTCAGCCATTAGAGAATTTTGGTGTGAAAGAATTAAGAATAAAAGAAGGGATGGGTTTAGGGTTTTTTTTAGGTGTGTGTGATGGTCTTTAGTCTTTGCTTAAAATAAGTATGGAGCATATGAGAATATATATAGAGAATTGATGTGAGGGGAGTTAGCATTCATGACTTTTACCATTAATGAAAACTTGAAAAGTCCTCATCACACTTAAAAGGAAAAATGACATTGAATTGGGTTCTCCATTATGAGGAAATAGAATACCTACTTTTTGTGGAAAACTCGGAAATAAAAGAAATATTTATTTTGCTTTTAGTTTTTCCAATTTTTCTCCAAAAAGGGAAAAGTCTGCATATATTTATCCGGCCAATTTTCAAATTTTATAATTAAAAAATTGTTTTTCAACTTTTAGGCCTTGTTTGGGAAGAATGTTTTTAATTGGCATTAACGTTTTGTATAAAATTTTAATGTTGTATATTAATTCTAAAAACGCAAAAGCTAAAGGCTGCTGTCAGACAGTCTTTTCAAAACGCTGACTTCTAATGCTTATGCGAAACGAGACCTTAGTAGATTTTAGATAAACGACACGAATTGGAAACACAATTACAACTGCGCTCTCTACTTCGTCTCTAGCAAAATTGTTTGATTAATATCGATACAGAGGAGAGAGAATTATGATCGAGCGCTCATTTCATTCTTTAAAAGGAATAATAATTTTATTTTGGAACGTAAAAACCAATAAATAAAATTAAGAAGTTTATTTTCAAGCGGATTCAGAGGGAGTATTTAATACTTCTTCTGTCCCAAAATAATTTATCTTTTTGAGACGGATAAACAAAGAAAGAAATATTTTCAAGGACGTAGGAAGCATTATTACTTTATAATATAGTATTTTTTTTATAAATAAAAATAAATATTGTAATTATGGAATGGCTTTAACAAATGCATTGGTACTTTCTCAACAAAGTAAAGGTCATTATATTCGACAAAAAACAAACAAATTAAAGATCACAAGTCAGGACCTACCAAAAAAAAGGTCACAAGTCGGGCGCAACTGCTGCTAAAAAGTACGGGAGTAAGAGCATCTCCAATCATCTTACTTTGACTTGCTAAAAGGCATAATATAACAAGTCTACCTATTTTTTTCTTCTCCAATGAGTGTTTTTAATTTTAGCAAGCTTGCCAAAAAATGACTTTGGCTTGTCAAATATAACAAGCTCTTTAAATTATAGGAAGCCAAGAGTTATAGAATGGATTAGCAAGCCATGGTTGGAGAATGCAACAAAATATCACTTGCTAGGTCATTATTCACTTGTTAAAATATAAAAATAGCAAGCCAATATACTATACAAGGTTGGAGATGCTCTAATAATATACTCTTTCCCTCATACTTCGTATATTTTTCTTACCCTTGACTTTTACTCGTATTAATTAAATTTCATAAAGTAAATAGAGTATAAATTTACTCCGTATTAAAATGAAATGTAATTTTATGTTTATATAAAAATGTATTCCTATATAGTTTTAAAAATCACAATCTCCATTCATGATTATCTATCCAGTTTCTAATTCTACACCCAACTATTTTTAACTTTGACTTATAATTAAATAAAATATATATGATATATTAATTAGATAAAATAATATTTCGAAAATATTTTATAAAATAAATCAAATAAAATTATATTTGTGTCAATACTCAATATGCTTTTATTTAATTTATGGTTAAACATTATCAATTTTGACCAAAAAAGTCAAAAGTGAATAATAACCAAAATGTTATATTGAAATTTCTAAAATATTAAATCATAAATTTACATGGAATAATATACTTTCTCTCTGTCCCAGAAAAACCTCTTTGTTATCATTTTTTATCAAACTTTGACACTCTTTCATTACAAATTAGATACTCCGTATAATTTATATATGTAAACATTATAAAAATTTGAAATATCAAAATTATATCCTAAAATTAGTTCAACTATACAGAATTTACAATTTAATTAAATATATTTTTTCACAATTTAATATAAAAAAGTGCCATTGTTTAATCAAAAGTATCAAAGTAGAAAAGGTTTAATTAAGAATAATACTACTTACACCATACTTGTGCATATCAATGTACTTGTGCATATCAATGTATAGACTCGAGTACAAAGTGAAACGGAGTATATATTTGAGATTTGCAAGTAACCAAACCCTTTAATTAAATCTTTATCGTGAATGCACTTTAGCCTAGTCAGGTCATAGATACCTAATTGAAAGTGCAAAAGCAAAGATAAATGGTGCACAAATTGGCAATTGTCAAAAAGCGAACGTGTTAAAAGTCATCCGCCTATAGACTTTTCCGACTAAAGTAAATCCAAATTACCGGTGTCCTGCCTCAAAGGTTTGTATTCTTTATCCTATTAAAAGAGTCTTTTTAGTCCCTAAATCATTTATCTTTTATGTAAAACGTAGTAAATTTTAATTTTTTCAATATATTTTATTTAAAAATTACTCCCTCCGTCCCTGAAAACTTTTCCTTTCTTTTTTCATCCGTCCAAAAAAATATTTCTCATTTCTATTAAAAAGTCACTTTTACCTCTTACTTTTTCATACCCTACCTATCACATCATACCTTTTTACTAATAATTTATCCATCAAATCATACTTTTACCCAGAACATTTTTGGAAATTCAATACCAAAATACACTCCTCTTAAATGCCTCTTCAAAATCAAAACTCTCATGTTTCCGGGACGGAGGGAATATTATATAAAAACTTACATATTTAAAAAATACACCAAAATTTCTACAAAATTATAGCCACACATTTTGTGGTGGGGTTACGACGGGGTTGGGGCAGGGGTGCAGGGCTGGGGTGGGGTGGGGGGTTTAGGGGGTGGGTTAGAAGGGGTAGGAACCGTCAATTTTACGAACGGAGCACCAGAGGTGCCTCAAAAACCCAGTGGCACCGCTAGTGGCACCGTTCTCCGGTGTCACTAGAACCGGGCCGTGTATACACACACACACACAGATACATCATATATAAAATACCCTTTTTTAAATCATTGGTGGAAGAATTTGGAAGGAGTTGGACGAAATTCAAAGGAGTTGGAAGAAGTTAAAAATTAATTTTTCCAACCTAAAACACGAGAGCTTAATTGTTCATTATAATTTTCTACATATATTAAAAGTTGAATGAAAAATTAATATGAAATGGAGAGTATTCGTTTTGTTCTTTTTAAGTGATCATTCTAACCCACCCAGTGCTTTGCACAAACTCGTATGCATTCTAAATTGTTGATATTTTTTTGAATGTGATTTCATTTATTTTAATTTTCTAATAATGATGTAACATGTCTTATATAAATACTTGTAACACTTTTTTTAAAAAAAAAATGATTTTAATATTGACGTACACGAATATCTCTATTTTGAAAAGTAGTAAAGAGAAAATAATGAACAGTTTTAAAAATCATATAAAATTTCACTTTAAAACATTATTTAACTTTTTAAAATATTTATTTTGATATAAAACTAATCTATTATATAGTCCGTATATAAAAGTACAATCAAAATTGAGCAAAATCTCAATCCATTTCTCGCTCCAAAATTAAAAAAATCAGATGGACCAATTTTATCGAAATCGACAAAATTTGGCCATTCATCCGCCTGGGACGTACAACAAATCTCAAAAGTATGTACTCCCTCCCATTTGGACTTTTTCTCATTTTTTGAATGGTTGACTTTGGAAGATAAATGTCTAATATACCCTCCATTTCTTACTTGTTTTACACTTTTACAGCCCCAACACCACCCTAGTCTCTGCCGAGGCTAGCACCCACCGCCCCCAATCATCGCCGGCAATTGACCTAGCCCCCACCACTCTCGCCTTAGCTCTCAACACCATCTCCCCTCAACCCTCAGCACCTTCGCACCATCGTCTATAGCCGCCACCATCTCTACCTCTGGGAGACAGAGAAAAAGGAACAAATCTAATGTAGATCTGCGAGGAAATGAGGGAGGGGAGAGGAGAGAGATAGAGTGAAAATGGTAAGTGGGGGTATTTTGGGTAGTTAGTGTATTAAAAATTGAAATGGGAAGATTATTTTCGGACAGAGAAAAATGAGAAATGGGAAGATTATTTTCGGACGGAGGGAGTAGTTTTTTAACAGAAGAACTACTATTATTCATATTAGAAATGAAGTAATATTTGGGGATGGGTGACACATACGCTGATGAAGATGGATAACATGATCAAAAGTTAAGGCATGAACTTGAGAAATTGGACACGAACAATAAAAGATGTGTACTCCCTACGCCAAAAACAGATGCTGACAACTATTTTTTCGGTAGTCTGATAGTGTTAGTTTCTGTAGTCTTCCGAGCAGTAGTGTGACAGATAGATAGACTCAATCAAATAAGTGTTTCTTGTTGTTTCAGGGTACTGGTTTCCCATGATGTCCTTCTAGGTGTAAGAAAACTATTTTTGGAGTTTTAGAGGACTGTTTTTATTGTAATGTGTCTATGATGTTGACTACTGTTTGTTTTGTGGTTCAAAGTACTATTGGTTGGTATTGTCCTTTGCTGAATCAGATTACTAGTTTGAAAAGTAGTCCAAATTTATCACACAGCTACTCTGAAGACTATTACCGAAAATTTTCATTAGACAACAGTTATCTTGTGTTGTTTATCTAAAATTTACAAATTTAAATGACTATTTTTATTGTGTTTCAAAGAACTATCGTTTGCGGTTGTCTGCCTAGAACTGAGACTATTATTTTGAGTTGGTGTCTTATTTCAATTCATACTACTAGTTTGAAAAAGTAGTTAGAATATCTATAAGACTATGCTCCAAAGACTATGCAAAAAGTGGATCAGATTACTATTCTATGGTGTTGTATGTCTATGATTCAAACTACTATGTTTTGAGGCTATGCATTAACGGTTCAAACTACTATTGTCTGAGTTGTTCTTCAATCGTGGATACTACTGTTATTTAATGTTGTTCTTTTGTGATTCAGATAACTATTGTTTTGCATTGAACAATTATGAATCAAATTACTGTTATTTGGTGTTGTCACTCTATAATTCATATAATTGTTTTAATACATTGCAAAACTACTTGAAATAATATTGTTTTCAATTGGAACCTATTTAATAATTGAAATTTGATTCCCTTACAGGTATTGATTACGAAACAAATATAAATTCTAAAAATACAATATATTGAAGACTATCAAAATTTATACATTTAAAATATGATTAACATTAGGTCATCCTCTTTACCACCACCATTACTCTTCCATCTTCCTTCATTTCTTTATTTCACATGTAATACACTTCCTCTCTTTTGATCAAGTTACCTCTTCCCCCCACTCATTCATCTTTGACTTGATTAACCCTTAGGTGGAGGACATACCTTTAGAGTAGAGATGACCCATTGCCATTGCAAGTACTTCCACCTAACAATACATAAATTCAAGGCAAAAGTAAAAACTGAAGAGCCAAAGTCCGCATTTGTGAATCTAACAATCTCGTTCACCATCAGTCTCCATTTCTTTTATAAGTTTGTACCCTGCAATGATCTTATCAACTAGCCAAACAAAAAAAAAAAGCATTTTCACTATGCTGGACAGTAAGATTCTTAAAACCTAATCACAAACACACATTGTTTTCTCTTGTGTATGTGTGTGCAATTGCATGAAACCCACATCCAGCAGGATGCTTTATGCACTAAACTATCCTTTTTACAGCAAGGCTCTTACCCTCTCTTTAGTCTTTATTCATGTTCTCAACATGACCTCTGTGTGCTAACTTTATGTTGAAATGATTCAAGCAATTTTAATTAGTAATTTATCAAGCAAAGAAGAAACAAGTGCATACAGAAAAGAACAAATCAGCATTTTATTAACATTAGATCTCACAAATGTTCGATTTGTGGAGGCTTGGGCTTGACTTTTGGCCCGGCCCATTTTACGAAACCCTAGATGCACTCTTCCTATATATATTGCATTCTTGTACTTGTAATCAGTACCACAAGTGAAATAAGAAAATCCTCCCGTTGCATCCGTGGATTAGGGAAACCGAACCACGATAAATTCTTGTGTGTCGTTTGTGTTCCGTTTCTCTCTTGATTCTCGCAGATATTTGTGTGTGTTGCGTGCATAATCCCCAACAAGTGGTATCAGAGCAAGGTTATTCAACACGAGCACAAATAGTGAGAAATTTGTCACCTAGGGTTTTTCAGATCTGTGCGTGCTGAGCCGCCGGGAGAGATCTGAGATTCCAGTAGTCCAATCTGAGATTGCAGTTCAGATCGTGCCTCCGTCAGCCGCTGATTCGTCCAGGTGCCGTCGTAGAGGAGTCGTCACTCAACCGGCCGTCGCTGAAGGAGCAGTGCGTCTGTTGAGCGAGACCGCCGCCGCCGACGAGAGGAGTCGTTGGGTCGGGATCTGTCGCTATCGTGGAGGAATCGCCGCCGCGTCGCCATCTCGATCGCCGCCTCCGATAGCCACACGCAGAAGGAGCCGCCGCCGCTACCGTCTTCAGTTGCAGAGCCGCCGGG